CTGGTAACGACGGTGGCAGGAGGCCGTTTGAAGTGCGGCTGTCAGGCGTCAGATCCCAAATCAGTCAGGTGCGCCGCCCTTGGATACGGACGTCCTCAGTGTCAGGTACGTTTGGTTAGTCTGGTGTTTCGGAAGCGAAGTGCCGGAGTGGCGAGCGAGATGTCTTGAGTTCGGTTCGGGGAGTGTTCCGAGCTGCCATGGGCCAGCTCGGGTCACGGCTTCGTTAGGCTTAGGACCCGAAATAGTTCGGGCTCCTTGTTGGGAGCTCGGGTTCTTAGTAGGGAGCTCGGGTTCTTAATAGGGAGCTCGAACTCCCAGTAGGGAGCTCGGGTTCTCGGTAGGGAGCTCGGGCTCCTAGTAGGGAATCCGGTCTAGTGGAGTTCAGGCTCAGTAGCGAGCTTGAACTTACTTTCGGTGCTCGTTTTGGGCGTTCTGCTGCCCCGAGTTGCTTGCTTTTGCCACGTGTCGGGTGATTGCGAGGTCAGGCCAAATTTTCCTTCATCAGGTATGTTTCAGTCTTAAAATCCTTGTTTGTACCCATATGACAACTAAAACACCATACAAAATTTATCATGCAAAACCAAACCAAATTTGCATTCATACGTTTTTTTTGGCCAAATTTGCATTTATGTCAATACATATGCCTTTTACACTCTTACCCAAAGCAGCGGAAAAAGAAAATGTTTAAGTAAATATAGGTAGTTGAGTAGCCTGAGTAGGCATGTCTAAAGATCCTGATTAGAATCAGAGTGATAATCCATTCTATGGAATTAGCCAGATCCTAAGCTTGCAAACGATAAGTGATCAGCAATTCAGCATGCCCCATGAGGTTTTCCAAATGAATAACAGGGGCTACGACCAAATAATAGAAAATGTTGAGTTGCAGCTCATGAACTGCAAAAAGCATTTCAATGGTTGAATATGTAATCCAAAAACTCTTTTTTTTTTCCAGTGGCAATTTCTTAATTCTGGGGTATTCAATTCTGTACCAACTTAGTTCAATTAGATAAAGAGTCGATCTAGTTTAAAAGTGTCATCAAAGGACCCTTACACTTTTAGAAAAGTTAATCACATCAGACTATTGCCGCATAAGTTACAAATTTTAATCCTGAGTGGAACTGACTCACATTGAAGTCCTTGTGACACATATAGGGAAACAAATAAATCTTTCTGTTTAAGAGACAGAAACCTATTTCTGCCATACAATCAGTTTTTCAATCATGTCACAAGATCTAAAAAGGTTTAATGATTTTTTTCCTGATCTGATTACACAGACAACCTCTAGAGAAGCAAAACCCAAAACTCACACTTTACAAAGATAAGGAGTGAGCCTGGACCAAACTCACTACTCAATAGGAATCATCACCTCATTTCTCCTCAAAGGAGGCAAAGTCCAAGGTGGATTATACCTTGCTAGCAAGAACTTCCCTGTAATCTTATACCCATCTCTCTCCAAGCTTTGCTTTAGCTTCTCCACTTTCTCCTCCACCACCTTATCTGTTGCCATTCCTGAAAACTTCACCACCCCGTACTTCCTCTCCCCTTCCTCCTTGATCACCACCCTCTCGTCAGTTGGCTTCGGAGCCTCCTCTGCCTTGGTGTACTTGGACGGCAACACGAATTGCATCGCCACCATCTTCTTTTCACCGTCTCCACCGTTCTTGGTGACGACCGGTGCTGTCATGGCAATCTTCTCAGCAGTGGTTTCCGAAGTTTGGGTTATAACGGGAGCTGTCATTGCAATCTTTTCAGGCTTTGTGTTCTGTGGTTTGCCCAAAGCGCCAATGTAGTTGGCTAAAACAGTGAAGCCGCCGTCAGGGTTCCCTCGAAATTCCGACGGGTCGTAAGTCACTTCTGCCACCACTGAGGAAGAGTACTTCCGAATTTCATAGTCTGTGGAGGATTGGAGAACTTCAAATTTCGGTGTTTCCACAGTGATTTTCCCAAAGACCAAACCCATCTTTCTTATTGAAATCGAAGAAGTAGAGTGAAGAGAGAACGGGGCACTTGAATTGAAAGCGAGCTTTTTAAGAAACAGAATGACTTTCTACGTGTGGATTGAAATTTGAGATTGCCGCAGCAGTACAGAAGCTGAAAGAGCGGTGGAGTGTCTGGTCTTTATAAAGAGGGAGTGACGGAGAAGATGAGATTTCCTGGTCGGTTTCTTGGGATTCAAGTATTCACTGTATATGAATCTCTCAGCAGGAGAGGATATGTTTGGGATGAGCGGCGGGAATCATCAGATGGTTTTGTGGACTCAGAGCTTCCACGACTCATGTTTTGACCTTCGAGAAGTTACGTGCCTAGCCTACGTGACTCTGGGGTCTCAGCTCTCAGGGATATTTGAGCCTCATCGCGTCGTTTTTGGGTAGAAGGTCGCTACGGATCTGTTACAAACAAAATGTGTACAACGACCTACGTAACCTAACCAAAAGTAAAACATCACCATCAAATATAAGCAATCAAAAGTTCAAAACTAAAACCGTCAGATTAGGATCCTTATGATAGTAGATTCACCAAATAAAGCACCGTTTTCTGTCCGTCTATGGTCTACCATCCTTATCCTCACTCTGAGGCGAGTTGAGGGGTGATCATGGGCTGGACCGGGCGGGCTTTGCACCTGTGATAGAGGACTATACCCTAGGCCCTGGTTCGGGGCCTGAAACATAAGCCCTGTTCCTGGCCTGATTCGGGCCTATAGCTTTAATAACAGGCAATCGTTATCCACCCTAAGATTCTCAAAAGAACTTGATTATAAGAAATTTGGTCATATAAATTGTTTATACAGGAAATCCGAGATCTTGAAATATGTTATGTAATCTTAAGTTCCAAGGATTTCCAAACAAAATGGCATGAGAAAATTGACAATGGACAAAGAGATGCATGAGAGATTCTTCTTCCCCATTGCACAAAACATAGAGTTTGTCTGAAGATTCTTTACTAGAATAAAATCATTAATTACTTTCTAGAAAAATAATTGATAACGCGGAGGAATAGTAAGTTTCCAGATTTTAGATAAACAGAACTTGAGATCAAATGATACATTTGGAAGGGGAGTTAATTGTTTCTTTTTGTATTCCTCCTTTACTGTATATTTTCCAGATTTGTGACTTGTCTAGACCCAATCCATTTCATTGTTTGAGGGGAAAATAGGTGTTCTCAAAATATTTGAAGCTTCCTCTGTTAAGAAGAGAGAACGAATTAGGATAGTATTTCACTTACCTGAAGTAATCAGATGAGAAATATTCATATTCCGAAGCTGAGGAGATAAGGGAAAAGATATCCAGTAGAACTTATTATTCAGTTGGATCTAAGGAACCTGATGAACAATAAAGGAAGATTTCTCATTTACAAGATAACAAATTTCTGAGGCTAACTCAATAATTTTTGGGCAAACAGCTTTTCAATAGATGGAACCTAAAGAGACCATTGAATAAGGTATAATGTTATGATTTTCGAGATATTTTGACTTCCAGACCTAGCCCATAACTTATGTTGCTCATTTAGATACTTCTAGGCTATTTTTCTTAAGAAGGGCATGATTTACTAAATTTAAATTTTTGAATCCTAATCCTCCATAAAATTTGGGTAACATAAGAGTGTGCCAGGAACACCAACGATAAGGGTGTTTTTGAGAAGAGAAAACACCCCACTAGAAATCCCTAATTATTTTGTTCATGTGGTCTATGGTTTTCTAAGGAAATTCAACAAGACTCATGGAATGGAGAGGAATAGCTTGAAGGACAAATTGGATTAAAATTTTGGGAAAATTCCTTATCAGTACCTTGTACTTTGGCTCGAGTGACAATCTGGTCCCCGAACTTTAAAATGCGACAATTCAGTACCCAAACTTTCAAAATGTGACAATCCAATACCCAAACTTTCAAAATGTGACAATCCAGTACCTGCCATTAATCAGTCCATTAATCAACCATTAAGTGACATGTGAAAAATCAAAAATGCCCTAAGAATGCCATCTAATTCTCTTTATCAACCATGAACTGTTCCAAATTCTAGTTTCTTCTGAACAGTCACCAACTTTTTGAATAAAAGAGGCTAGGATTTGGGACTGTTCGGTTTTTTGTCAATGTTTGGATGGTTGATAAAGATAATTAGATGGCATTCGAAGGGCATTTTTGAGTTTTCAAATGTCACTTAACGACTTATTAACGGACTAGTTAATGATAGGTACTGGATTGTCACATTTTGAATGTTTGGGTACTGGATTGTTGCATTTTAAAGTTCGGGGCCAAATTGTCACTTGAGCCAAAGTACAAGGTATTGATCGGGAATTTTCCCTAAAATTTTCTTTCCCGCTTGACTAATTGTTGAGGCTCTCCAATTATTTAACTTGGACTTAAAATTTTCAAGAACATAGTTCAGCCTATCATGCTTATTATGGAGCCAAAATAGTGGAAGACCCAAATATTTGGAGTTCCTATTAAGAGGGCCTATATGAAGTGTGATGTCTTGGATGAATATTTTTACTACAAAAAACACCAATTTTTTCCATGTTGATCAATTAACTAGAGGCATATTGAAATTTAAGAAGAATTTGATTTAGATTATCTATGTCTTCCCTATGGGCTCGAAGGAATAACATCACATCATCTGCAAAAAATAAGTGGAAAATTTTTGGGGAAGAAGCAGTTATTGAAATGCCTTGTAATTTTCCCTCCTGTTCCGCATGAAGTAGAAGATGGGATAAACCCTCCATAGCTATTATAAATAAATAGGGAGGCAAATGATCTCCTTGTTTAAGCCCTCTAGAGGGACAAAAATGTCCTTTTGAAGTACCATTTACCAGTACTAAAAGGAGACTGAAGAAATGCATTCATTTATAATCTGACAAAAGTCTTTTGAAAAGCCAAGAAGAGATAAAAATTTCAAGGGAAAATTCCATTCAAGACTGTCATAGGCTTTTGACATATGTAATTTTAGTGCGATAAATCTTGTACCTCGTTTTTTGTGCTTTAGGTAGTGGAACATCTCCTGAGTGATAATGGAATTGTCAAACATGTGACGACCCGGAACAAAAGCTACCGGATTTGGGGTAATACATTTATCTAGAAGAGTACGGCGTCTGGAGCCTATCAGTTTAGCTATCACTTTGTAAATGACATTACATAAACTGATAAGTCTGTAGTCCTAGACTTTTGTGCACTCTATTTTTTTAGGAATAAGACAGATGAAGGTGTGGTTCAATCTTCGCAGAAGTTTCTTATTTCAAAAGAATTCTTGGACTACCTATACTATTTCTGACCCCATCATATCCCAACACTCCTTGAATACTATGGTTGATACTCCATCTAGCCCAGGAGATTTCAGGCTTCCTTTATGAAAAAGGGTCGATTTGACTTCGTTAGATGAGGGAATATTTAGGAGCAAATTATTTTCCTCTTCAATATTTACCGGATTAAATAATTGTGGTAATTCCTCTATTTAGATCAAAAAAATAGTCTATAAAAATATGGGCAATATCCTCATGAGAAGATTTCCAATTATTTTGATCATCCATAATTCCTTTAATGCAATTCCTTTTCCTCCTAAACAGGGTACTCTTGTGGAAAAATTTTGTATTTTTGTCTCCCAAATGTAACCATGTGTGGCGGAATTTTTGTCTCCAAAAGCTTTCAATTTGCCACATAGAAGTTTCATACTCCTTATACAGGCTAGTCAAGATAGGGGAATCCTCAGATTGTTTAGCCTATATGATTTGAACTTCTGATTTTTTTTTTTTATTTTATCTTTTGGCTCTATAAAGGAGTGTCGTCTCCAATTGATTAAATTCTTCTTAATTCTGTCTAGCTTTTGAGTTAGTCTATAAGCCGCATGTCCATTGATTTGACAATTCCAACCATCCTTCAAAAGTTGTTTACAAGAGTTGTCAACTAACCACATCTCATAGAATCTAAAGGGTTTAGGCAGATTTAAAATCTGAGGATTTAGATTGAGAAAGAGGGGATGGTGATCTAAACCCCATCTAGAAAGTCAAATTTCTAAGTATCCCCTGATTTAAGAAATTGATTATCCTTATTCCTATTATTTATATGTTGTCAAAATTACTTTTAAGTTTCTTCACAATTGTCTAAACCTCCCTTTTCATTAATTTTCCACCACACTCCATTCACATATGATATCACGTGATTAATATATTTTTAAAAATTTTTAAAATATTCTTTCTCCGACATCTTTGAAGCCTGAAGGTAAATTTTGCTTGTGCTCCAAGGGAAAATAGTGAGAGAAGGCAGAAGGGAAAGAGAAAAAGGAAATGGGTGGTATTTGTTTCCCTATATTAACTCTGTTTTTTTTTTATTATTTACAGTTTCAGAGCTGTTTAAAAAAGGAGATTCTAATTTTTGGAATGTATTGGAGAGATGCAAAGAGTTTGAAAGAGCTGAAGAAGGCTATCAATTTTGGGTCAATGATGTCGAGATCTTAAAACAGAGCAGCCATCGATCCCCACCGCTACAGTTCCACCGTTTCTCTCTCTCCTTCTCCCAAGCCCTTGCTCTCACTCTTCTCGTTGTTGCTACCTCACCTAATTTCCTAGTCACTAAACATTTGGTAAAGATAAAATACAACCCAAAAGAAAATTGTTTACACCACTTCTTTTTATTTTTAGTTTTCACTGCCAAGATTGGGTAAACCACTTATCCTTGCAATAAACACCTAAGCTACTTTATTAAATCAACCATATCACCCTTTGAACAGTTTCTTACAACTTTGCATTATCTCCCCATAAAATAAAGTATATAAGTACGAAAATATTCTCGATGCAAGTTGTAAAAGCTATTCGAACAAGCATTTCACTGACCCAAATCGAACTCTAACGACCTGTGGAGAGAAGAGACTCTACAACCGATGATTGAGTGGTTGTATGCTTGTAATCCCTCGGGAAGGGCAGGACATACTAAACTCGTAGAAGCTTTCACCGTGAACATACATAAGACTACTAGCAGTCTAGCACTAACCAACAGTGTATTCAGAAGAAGAGCTTCTCCCTTCAAAAACTCCAATACACGTCGCATGTTAAGCCTAGCAGTTGGAATTGAATTACAGCAAAGAAGCCTAAGCTTCAACACCAAATCCATCTCCTCAACTACATAATCACCCCCCCCCCTCCCAAATTTGGATCTGCTGTCTCAAGAATTGTCCCTCTCCAAAACGACAAGACCCAATTAACCAAAATAAGATCTTTCTATAGGCCTTTTCCCACAAGCCACTTCGAGAATAAAAGCTCCAAAAGCAAACACACATGTACTTGGAGCCGGTTTACTAGTTCTAGTGATCTCTGGTGGAAGATAACCTAGTGTCCCCATCACATGTGTTGTTTGAGGATCTGTTCGTGATCATATAACCTTGAGAGCCCAAAATCCCTCTAACCTACCATTAAATTCTCTATCTATCTAATAAGACATTGGTGGATCTTACATCTCTGTGAACAACAATCTTCTCCCAATTTTTATGTAGATAAAATAGTGTGGATGCTACCCCTTTGATGATTCGCACACTAATAGAAGCTCTCCTTTACGCCAACAATAGCCTATAAGAGTTGTACTAAGTTCTAGTTTCGCAATTGACCGGTGGTAACAATCTCGACAATGAATTCTCTCATTCCTTGCCTTGATTAGGGGTGAGCAAAAGAAAAAACCGAAAAATCGAAATGACCAAAAAAACTAACCAAAACTGAACCGAAAAAACGGTTAATTGAACCGGTCGGTTCGGTGTTTTTAAAAAATCGAAGGTACCAGTTCGGTTTCAATTAACCAAGATAAAAAAAAAAAACCAACAATTAACCTAACCGACCAATATACATGTTTTTTCTATATATTATATGTATATTTATATATAAATTATAAATTAATAAATATGCATTATATATAAATATATATAAATGCATAATATATTGTATATTATTTATTATTTAAAATATAATATTTTATATATATTTATAATTTTTTATTATATATTTAATATATTTTTATAATATATATTATAAAAACTAAAAAACCAAAAAATTGGTCAACCAGTTAACCGACTGATTTCGGTTCGATTTCGATTACCGATTTTCCAAAAACTGGTACTATCGATTCAGTTCAAAAAAAAGTATCCGAACCGTGAGCACCCCTAACCTTAATTCATGAGATACTTTCTTCACTACAAACTTCCACCTTGGAAGTGGGTACCGAAACCCCTTCCAATTCCTGATTCAGTGTTGGCCACAACCCACAGGGCAAGGAATTATTCAAATCTCTTTTTTCTTCTCCTCCGTTATATATAAAAAAAACCACCGGTATTCGAATCTTTCTATTTTCTCTTCGTCTAAACCTCTCCCTCCTTTTCACATTTCTTATTATACTCAAATGAATAACAAAAAAGAAAAAATAGTTAAAAAATATTTCAATTGGCGATTGTATTTTATTCCATCTTGTCCGATGGTAACATGCCAGTCTTTCAAATGGTTGTGAAGGCTTTAAATTACTTTTGAAAATTTAAAGAAGAGTAGATTTGTCAATTATCAGAAAAGTTAAGAATATTTTAAGATGTCATATAACTTATTTTAAGACAATATCTATTATTAAGATAATATGTATTAATTATATATAACTTATTTTATATTATAAGTGTTATATTTATAAAATATAACATAAAATAACATATAAAAAAAGAAGGCATGAAATATAAAATCCTCCCCTGTATTTTAAGTCTAATAAAACCCTGTCCTAACATTTTGAGAAAAGGTGATAAAGATTTATATTGGCCTATACGTATATCTTTCGTAGCATAAGCCTTGAGGCATGACACGTATGCTTGGTCTAACAGGGGTCAGAGCCTCAAACCAAGACCCTGATGCTTAAACCCTTGTCACGGCATATGTTTTATGATTCAATGTTTTTTTTTTTTTTTGGTATTTGGTGTTATGCACCATTAATAACTTCCCCTTACCCTTTTTTCCCAAAATGCTGGTTGCAGGACTTGATTTCACGTCAAAAGCTGGAACAAACCACACCAACGAGCCAGCCCTCGTTGGTTCATGGCTCAAGACTTGGGCCTTCAAAACCATGACTTAAGAGTGTGTTTAGTTAGTAAGATTGCAAATGTAGAACCAAATTATATTTGTAATCCAGTTCAGTTTTGCAATTGTTTGATAAGAATAGGACGTCGCTTTTGCATTCAAAACGAGAGTCAAAATTGATCAATGTAAAATAGGTATGTTTCAGTCTTAAAATCCTTGTTTGTACCCATATGACAACTAAACACCATACAAAATGTATCATGCAAAACCAAACCAATTTTGCATTCATACGTTTTTTTGGCCAAATTTGCATTTATATCAATACATATGCCTTTTACACTCTTACCCAAAGCAGCGGAAAAAGAAAATGTTTTAAGTAAATATAGGTAGCTCAGTAGCCTGAGTAGGCATATCTAAAGATCTTGATTAGAATCAGAGTGATAATCCATCCTATGGAATTAGCCAGATCCTAATTTTGCAAACGATTAAGTGATCAGCAATTCAGCATGCCCCATGAGGTTTTCCAAATGAATAACAGAAAATGTTGAGCTACAGCTCTTGAACTGCAAAAAGCATTTCAATGGTTGAATATGTTATCCAAAAACTCTTTTTTTCCATTGGCAATTTCTTAATTCTGGGGTATTCAATTCTGTACCAACTTAATTCAATTAGATAAAGAATCGGCCTAGTTTAAAAGTTTAATCAAAGGGCCCTTACAGGCTTACACCTTTAGAAAAGTTAATCACATCAGACTATTGCCGCATAAGTTACAAATTTTAATCCTGGGTGGAACTGACTCACATTAAAGTCCTTGTGACACATATAGGGAAACAAATAAATCTTTCTGTTTAAGAGACAGAAACCTATTTCTGCCATACAATCAGTTTTTCAATCATGTCACAAGATCTAAAAAGGTTTAATGATTTTTTTTTCTTAGTTTAGGATTTGTTAGAAACATTAGGGAAGGTTCACAGAATTTTTTTTCCTTTTCCGTATTTAGTTTATGCTCTCGTCCTCCAAATAGACTGCACCCCATACCAAAAATTTCTTGAACAGATCACAGAAACAGATCGAGTAATGGTCTGTGGGTATACAAGGCATGTAAGCTCAGACCGAGTAATGGGCATGGAGATGGGCCATTCAACTAGTAGGATTTCATCTGCAAAATATTAAGACTTTTGAGAACAGTTTTAGCTGATTTGAGCTCTAGAGTCTCCAATGCAACCCATAGCTATAAGATTACTCGTTTACTCTGAATCTCTGATTGATGGTGAGACTTAGAGTCTCCAATGCAACCCATAGCCCTTGCATTAATTTGTTTTCCTTACTAAGCTTGGCTAAACAAGAGCAGATCTTTTATTGTCTGTTGTCTCCTTAATTTGATAAGTGAGACTAAAACTTGATTTCTGTAATAAATCCGCCTGCAGTATTACTTGAATGGTTTTCAGAACAGTAAGAGCGAACACACGGTTGAAGGAGATATCGGCTTCTTCAACTTACAAGAGGGAAGAGGGGGTAAAGCCAAGTATGTCGATTACGGAGACTAACCGAGAAGAAGAACCCAAAACTCAAAACTTTACAAAGATCAGGGACTGTACCAGACTCACTCAATGGGAAACATAACCTCATTTGTCCTCAAAGGAGGCAAAGTGAGCCAAGGTGGATTATACCTTGCTAGTAGGAACTTCCCTGTAATCGTGTACCCATCTCTCTCCAAGCTTTGTTTCAGCTTCTCTGCTTTCTCGTTCACCACCTTGTCTGTTGCCACTCCTGAAAACTTGACCACCCCGTACTTCCTCTCCCCTTCCTCCTTGATCACCACCCTCTCGTCAGTTGGCTTCGGAGCCTCCTCTGCCTTGGTGTACTTGGACGGCAACACGAATTGCATCGCCACCATCTTCTTTTCACCGTCTCCACCGYTCTTGGTGACGACCGGTGCTGTCATGGCAATCTTCTCAGCAGTGGTTTCCGAAGTTTGGGTTATAACGGGAGCTGTCATTGCAATCTTTTCAGGCTTTGTGTTCTGTGGTTTGCCCAAAACGCCAATGTAGTTGGCTAAAACAGTGAAGCCGCCGTCAGGGTTCCCTCGAAATTCCGACGGGTCGTAAGTCACTTCTGCCACCACTGAGGAAGAGTACTTCCGAATTTCATAGTCTGTGGAGGATTGGAGAACTTCAAATTTCGGTGTTTCCACAGTGATTTTCCCAAGGACCATACCCATCTTTCTATCGAAATTGAAGAAGTATGAGAAAAGTGGACACTTGAATTAAAGAAGGGAGCTTTTTTTTTATCAGGACAGACTGATTTCTGGTTATGGATCGAGTGAGATGCAGGAAATTTGATCTTTATAAAGATGGACTGACGCAGAGGATGAAATTTCTTGGGCGGTTCTTGTTAAACAGGACAGAAGATGTGGAGACATTTGGGAAATGAGTGGCGGTAATCGTGAGATCGTTTTGTGGACTCCGTGTTTCCACGATTCATGTTTTCTTCTGAGAAAGGATATTGATCTCATTGGAAAGAATGCTATGCTGCGACCACGGTTTCAGCATTTACTTGTCGACTTTGCGAGACCCGATAAGACACGAACGAATGGTAGCAAAGCCAGCAGGGGAGCAGCAGCAGATGTTTTCGGATGTAGGAACAGACACTGTGGACTGTGGAAATAGGGCAGTGAATCTAATGGGGCGGAAATTATGTAAGTTACGGTGTAGAATTGTAAAATAAATAAAAAAATCAATATCAAATAATTTAATTATTTTTTATTGGTTCATATTTTATGATATGTATTTAACAATTACATTAAAGAATTCAACAACATCAAAAATATAAATTCTAACCTCTTAACTTATTATTGATTTACTTTCTATTTTTGAATGCAATTTTTGCACCATAAATTTTGATTCTTCAAATCTTACGCTTATTATTCACAACCCATCTTGCGAGCTTATGGGCTGGGTTGCAAGATCTGGGGACAAAAATTCTATAATATCAGAATTACGTGAAATTGGGAATCTACATTTCACTAAAGCAGCATGGATCTTCTTCCATGGAGAGGGCTGTTCGTCCAACAGAGTTTTAACAATCAGTTTTACATCTAATTCCACCACTACCTTATAGATCATCCATACCATTTCCCATTATAATGTCTTTTGGGCACCAGAGCTTCAATTTTGAGGAGCAAAATAAATGAGCCAACAAACAGCTTTGCCACCTCAAATTTTGCCTTCTGTGATCTCTGACTACTATTCCCACACCAGCAACATACTCCATTGATGTTTATCTTCGGTTCAATAATCAACTTGTACCAATGCTTGAGGTCAACACCAACCTCCGAGAGGGGAGAAGCTTCCAGAGGCAGTGACGTGTAACCTCAGCTATTTGCCCCTGAGAGGACATAATCGTGGATATTGGACATGCTGGAGTGTTGTCAAAGACAACTCTGTTTCTTTGGTTCCAAATATTTCAACATTAAATGGCACCCTCCACCAATAACGAGTGATCAGTTGGACCATCTTCCCAGGGGAGAGAGGGGGCGTCATTCCCATACCCCCCATTCTCTTAGTCTTAGGCCCTGTTCTCTTTCCCGTAAGTTACTTATAGGGACACTTATCATTCATGGTCCTTTATTTCTCATGCAAATACAACAATGGCCCTTGTAGTCATAAAAATACATTATTAAAGGGGACATTTTTGTACTATCCAAGCGTTAACAAGTTATTTACTCACCTGAGATATGGGTATTACTTACCCGAATAAGTGACCTGATCTCCACATAAATTTAAAAAAATAATACGGGTTTCTTGGTCAATGGGAATCAAAATTTCACTGACCAACTCCCCCTTAAAATCCAAAAGGCAAACAGACCCTTTGGCTGTGTTTGGTTTGAAGGAAAAATAGGGAAAGGAAGAAAAGTTTAGAGAAACCTTTACAAACCAAACATAGTCTTAGAGGTTTATCAACATTGCTTGAGTTGAATTTATCCCCGTATGGGGACCCAAACGAAACACAGCGAGCTAGGGGGCAATTAAAGAGCATATGGTCGATAGCCTCTTCTTTGTGAAGATAAAAAGGGAACGAAGCCTCGTACTTATTCAGTTTGTCTACAGGGAGTTTGGAGACCAGCAGGTATATTAGATAGTGACACCATAGGAAGGTGATTCAACGGAATCTTCTTATATTTCCAAATCAGCTTCCATATGGGGTCTCTAGAGTTACTAGAGGCACAAGCCTTCTCTTCCATCCATCAGAGATGAGATTTCATCCTCGTCCCAAGTGGAGGATGAATTTGAATTGATCAATCTTGACTGAATTTTTGTTCTTGATCCTGAATTTTACACCAAAGCTGACATAGTGTATCATGATTGACCGACCAATTATTACGACTGGAACAGTCATGAAAGCAGTTGTTGTTTAGGCTCAGTTTGGAAGGAGTACAAATACAAATTTGTAGAGTGCAAAACCTTGTATTTTGTATGTATTTGCACAGTATATATTTGTATTTGTACTCCTACCAAACTGAGCCTTAACATCCACTAGCATTTCTTTTACTTTTACAGTGGTTTTCCAAAGATACTTTTGAGTTAATATCTTTTAGCTGCCGGACCCACTCCTCTAGTTAGTGTTCACTGGGCATGAAAGTTGTCTTGCAAATAATTTACTATAACAAGTAAATTCAGGCAGTTTTTTATTTGAACTAGAACTTCAGACGTTTGATATCATCTTCACTACCCATTAAGAGGATGAACAAACAAAACATTTACCAAAAAAAAAAACAAATAAAACCTCAGCAACCCCTTCCATGTTACATTCTAAACAAATTGCAAATCTCACCTATGTAAGCACATGCACGTGTGTGTGTGTGTGTCCAAAACCCTGGATAGGTGCTTATATTGCAAACTTTCAGCCTTCTTTCATTAACTGTTGCACATTTCAATACAAGTTCTGGAAGAGTAAACCCGAACTTGACACTATAAATGGAAAAAATATACAGAATACATAATACATGTAACATGTATTTAGATAAAGGTGAAATTCAAACACAACTTGGGTGAACTTGTTTTCTATTGGCAAAGGTCCTTGGATAATGAAAAGAGAAAAAATTATACTTAATTCTATGTGGAATGCTTTTAACTATATGAAATCAGTTAAAACTTCTACGAAGTTTGGGGTTGGAATAAGAGACATTTAGATATCAGCAAATAGATGGTAATTTTTAGAATCTACCATGATGAGCCTCAAGGCTGCAATTGCTGCAGCAACAGACATGAAGCTGAAAAGGCAAACATTCAGCCAATGCCAGAACTTCTGCAATGCTGTCATTTTGTTCTTCTTCACCATTAGGTACATGTGGTTTGAAAGAATAAAAGTGAGAGGGAATGTGCTTAAGGCTCCAGTAAGACTCATGAAATCTCCAAGGAATGGCATTAAAGCTGCCACTAGTGTGTTTATGGTTAGGTATCCACCTCTTACAAGAATTCTGAATGACAAGTTGTGTAAAGAGAATGCACTTCCTTTTGATCTACCATACTTGGTATCCAAGTATTCATACATTGGACTCGCAAATATCTACATCAATAAGGGAAATATTATTAGGTTAATTCGGTCATGAAGAAAATGGAAGGTATCTTAAAAAATAGACAAGAACATTTAGAAGGTGCTATTGTTTTGTGTCCATCAACACTATAGAAATTTTTGTCCTTAACACCATTTCATATAGATGCATGCAAATATGACAGTTCAGGCTACAAAACATTTTGATGGAGCAAAGGTGAAGTCATATCACGATAACTTTTAACCATAGTCATATCAATTAATTTTAACTATCTCCAGTGTACTTTTTTAACTATAGTGGAATGACCTAGGTTAGATATGCAAGTTGTATTACAGCATAGCATGAATGACAAGAAACTCATGAGCTTCAAATACACGAAATGCTGTCACATCTTGGACAAAAAAAGGAATTGCTAGATGCTCCAAGTATCAAAGTGAAAGTGGTAACAAAAGGTATAAACTTAGTACTTACTAAGTTCAAATTTATTAGCTATGCAGTAAAACAGGAAGAAGAGATGTGAAGTTGTTATTTTCTTTTTTGGCAACGTTCACATGTATTTTGTCCATTGTCAAAAAAGCAATATCTCCACCTAGTGCTATTAATTAAAGAACCGTACACAGCTCAGTACATCCTTATGTCCTACCTCCTCCAAAATTAACTATACCATATAGGGACAAGGAACACATTTTGACAGGCCCCACTAAAACAAGCTACAAAAGGCCAGGAAAAAAGAAGACCCCATCATGTTCCTAACAAGAGAAACTTCTGTATCATTAGCATCAGAAGGTCAGGGACTACAAGGTTACCATTGTTTTAGGTTAGGAGATGTCCTAGATAATCCCATCAAATTTTGTGGTCAAACACAAATGAAACCGGTGCAACAGAAAAGATTGCAGGAACAACTAACATATGATCATTCTAATATCATTTTCATTAATATATAAAAGTGAAACAAAAGATCAGGGATTAGAACAAGTACATACGTGCAAAGCAATGACCGTTTGCAAAAAGGCAGCAATATTGGCCATCATCTTCACCCAAACTGGACCCGTCACACTATTGAGGAGAAAGGATGATGTTGTGGACCCATAAGCCCAATACCCCATGAAAGTAATAGCAAACATTGGTAAAACTCCAAGAGTGAACTGTAATTTGAGTGCCTTCTGCATGTTTCTGACAACAGGCTGTTTAACTGTGGCCTGTTAYAGGAATAAAGTACAAAATGTAAGAATTCACAAACAGATAAAAGTTTTTTATAATAGAAACACAGAGAATTTATTAAACTAAAGACAGATTACAACACTCAAAATTAAACAATCTATATTCAAAAAGCAATTAAAACCCACCTCCCAATTCAACCATAGATAGACTAAGAAACATTAAAAAAACAACTTTCAGAACAATTCAGAATGGGCATCAAGAGCACCTCTTTGACCAAGTTTCCAAATAGAGGAATCTGACTAATCTTTCACTCAATCACCTACTATGTCAAATATGAGATAAGAGTTACTCTTTTCCACCAATTCTTAGACCAGAAGAAAATGAAAGACACTTGTGGGAACAATTTTTATAATCCTGGGTGGACCTGACTC